GAATCCGTGTTCAATCCATACAAATTTGAAAGAGATTTAAGTGCAATCAAAATATAAATTATAAGAAAATAAAACATTAAACCCACATTCATAGAATAGCTATTGGACTAACTGATGGTGCCTTTGGATCTTCTGAATACATTCTTATGATCTTTTAAGTAAGTTTTTATGGCAAAGACTGCTGTTTCCTTCAGAAATTTTCTTGTTTCATTTTTTCCCCTTAGGCATGAAGAATTTATTCATTACTGCATAATTCTTGATAACTATTTAATTATATCGCATAGTCTCAGATACCAAAGCACTCCTTGATTCTTGATTATATATTATTTAACAATTGACTATAGCAATTTATCTTTTCTTTTGCAAGCTCATTTAAAACAATTCCTGCACAATGTTTTTCCTAGTTTTTCAAATTTATTTATTTTTTTATTAATTACACTTTATTTGCTTTGTATCCCCCTATAAGCCCCTCCTGATCCCACCCTCCCTCCACCCTCCCTCCACCCTCCCTCCACCCTCCCTCCACCCTCTGCATGCATGCCCCTCCCCAAGTCCACTGATAGGGGAGGTCCTTCTCTCCTTCCTTCTGAATTTGTCTATCAGATTTCATCAGAAGTGTTTGCATTGTCATCTTCTGTGGCCTGGTAAGGCTGCTCTCCCCTCAGGGGGAGGTGATCAAAGAGCAGGTCAATCAGATTATGTCAGAGGCAGTCCCTCTTCCCATTACTATGTAACCCACTTGGACACTAAACTGCCATGGGCTACACCTGTGCAGGAGTTCTAGGTTATCTCCATGCATGGTACTTGGTTGGAGTATGAGTCTCTGGGAAGACCCCTGTGTTCAAATTTTCTGGTTCTGTTGCTCTCCTTGTGGAGTTCCTGTCCTGTCCAGATCTTACTATTTCCCACTTCTTACATAAGATTCCATGCACTCTGCCCAACAGTTGGCCGTAAGTCTCAGCATCTGCTTTGATAGTCTGCAGGGCAGAGCCTTTCAGAGGTCCTCTGTGTCAGGTTTCTAGCTTGTTTCCTGATTTCTTCTTCTATTGTCCTTCCACTTTCCCTTTCGGGATGGGGATTGAACATTTTAGTTAGGGTCCTCTCTCTTGATTAGTTTCTTTAGATGTACAGATTTTAGTAGGTTTATCCTATATTACATGTCTATATGAGTGAGTATATACCGTGCGTGTCTTTCTGCTTCTGAGACAGCTCACTCAGGATGATCCTTTCCAGGTCCCACCTTTTACCTGCAAATTTCATGATTTCCTTATTTTTTTATTGCTGAGTAATATTTCATTGTGTAGATGTACCACAATTTCTGCATTCATTCTTCAGTTGAGGAGCATCTGGGTTGTTTCCAGCTTCTGGCTATTACAAATAAACCTGCTACAAACATGGTTGAGCAAATGTCCTTATTGTGTATTTGAGCCTCTTTTGGATATATGCCTAGGAGTGGTATGGCTGGATCTTGAGGAAGCGCTATTCCTAGTTGTCTCAGAAAACGCCAGATTGATTTCCAGAGTGGTTGTACAAGTTTACATTCCCACCAGCAGTGGAGGAGGGATCCCCTTTCTCCACAGCCTTTCCAGCATGTGTTGTCACTCGAGTTTTTCATCTTGGCCATTCTGATGGGTGTAAGGTGAAATCTCAGGGTCGTTTTGATGTGCATTTCCCTAATGACTAATGACATTGAGTGTTTCTCTGCCATTTGATATTCCTCTACAGAGAATTCTCTATTTAGCTCTGTTCCCCATTTTTTAATTGGATTACTTGGTTTGCTGCTTTTCAGCTTCATTAGTTCTTTATATATACTGGATATTAGCCCTCTGTCAGAAAAAGGGTTGGTGAAAATTCTTTCCCAATCTGTAGGCAGTCATTTTGTTTTGATGATGGTGTCCTTTGCTTTACAGAAGCTTTTCAGTTTCATGAGGTCCCATTTCTTGATTGTTGCTCTTAGAGCCTGTGCTGTTGGTGTTCTGTTCAGGAAGTTGTCTCCTGTACCAATGAATTCTAGGGTCTTCCCCACTTTTTCTTCTAACCAATTTAATGTGTTTTGTTTTATGTTGAGTTCTCTGATCCACTTTGACTTTATTTTTGTGCAGGGTGATGAGTATGGATCTATTTGCATTTTTCTACATGTAGACATCCAATTAGACCAGCACCATTTGTTGAAGATGCTATCTTTTTTTTCCATTGTATGTTTTTGACATCTTTGTCAAAGATCAGGTGTCCATAAGTGTGTGGGTTTATTTCTGGGTCCTTGTTCGGTTCCATTGATCCACCATTTTGTTTCCATGTCAGTACCATGCAGTCTTTATTACTGATGCTCTATAGTACAGCTTAAGATCAGGGATGGAGATACCTCCAGAAGATCTTTTATTGTAGAGGATTGTTTTAGCAATTCTCGGTTTCTTGTTATTCCATATGAAGTTGAGAATTTTTCTTTCCAGGTCTGTAAAGAATTGTGTTGGTAATTTGATGGGAATTGCATTGCATCTGTAGATTGCTTTTGGTAAGATGGCCAGTTTTACTATGTTAATTCTGCCAAGCCATGAGCATGGGTGATCTTTCCATCTTCTGATATCTTCTTCTAATTCTTTCTTCAGAGACCTGAAATTTTTTTCATACAAGTCTTTGACTTGCTTGGTTAGGGTTACACCAAGGTGCTTTATGTCATTTGTGGCTATTGTGAAGGGATTCTTACCTGACACCATTAGCAGACTCGTGGGTAGGCTATAATAGTTTGATGCATATGCGCATCATGAAATGATCCAATGAAACTGACATACCTACTCCTTAAACACTGACTTCTTTTTTGCACTAAAATAGTTAAGATCTCCCCTAGCTATTTGGAAGTAGGAATACATTACTACCTACAATAATCCCCTGCTGTGCAACAGAACACCAGGGCTTTCTCCTACTAATTCTAACTTTATTCCTCTGGAGCAGCCTTTTCCAGCTTCTCCCGATCTTACCCTCTCTAGCATCTGCTAACTATTATGATACTGTCTGTATCTACAGGACTGAGTTTTTGTTGTTGTTGTTTTCAGTGCCATATATGAGTAATATCATGGGGTTTCTGTCTTTTTGTACCTGGCTTATTTCACTTTGATAACATTTTCACTTTATTTTGCTTCATTAGGTCATCAGCCAACTCATCTGCAAGGCATTATAAACAGGGGAATCAGAAATGGTTGGATTTGCATACCAACACTACCACTCAAACTATTGAGCATGTTATTTGTCTCTGTGAACTCAAGTCCCTTTGGTTGTAAAATAAAGATTTAATGCCATGAGTGAAGCATGAAGAATGTTTGGCAACCTATCTATAGTTAGTAAATGCATGTCCCCTTCCTTCTACTAATATATTCTTACTGTAACTTACAGTAAGAGGAAATAAAGAGTCTTCAGGGGACAACTAAAATGTGAGCAATCTTCCTCAGCAAGGCGTTTTTTTTCCTCACTACCTCTATGCTGCCCATACCCTTCTATCTGATGCTGCTGAAGTTCTTGATAGCCAGGCTTAACTACTATGGTTCCAACTTTTCTGACTCCCTCTTAGGTAAATCATCTTTGTTAGAGGGATCTCTCCCAGGCTTGATGTGTCATGTGATCATCCAAGTACAAGTTTTGAGGCTTCTGCTTTCAAGGTTCTCTTTCTTTTCCTTCTGGTAGCCAAGCACCTGAATGGCTGACATCACTGTAAAGAAAGTGTCCACACAGATAGATTTACAAAGGTGTGGGAAATCCATGGGATCCCATTAAACATTAAACATACTTTCTTCACTAAGAAAAACTCTTAGTGAGAAGCACTGAGCAGACAGTGGTGATAATAATGAATGACACCCTCAGAGCAAATGACGCAAGGGACCCTACAGGCTCTATAATGGCCTTGATTGGGGGAAGGTGACATCAAACTGAACCAGTAGAATTATACAACTTCCTGCCTTTCCTTAGTTCTAATCCAGATAGGAGTAGTCCCCCTACCCCTTCAGCTTGGGTGACCTTCAGCCTGTTTATATCCTTCATATTTTTTATACTGCCAGATCACCTTTAAAGCATGAAACTTTATTTCACTCCTCTCAATGTCTTCTCTTTTGATCCTCAAGTACTTCAGCCAAACATTTTGTCTTGTAAATCAAAAGCTTTCCCTTTCAATTATTGTGTCTGATGTGGGCTTCAGGAGTTATTTTGAAGTTTAAAAAAAAAAAAAACATTATTTTTTTTTTTTTTTTTTGTTTCTTTCCCTCTGTTTCAAAGACCCTGCTTCTTTGAGAATTATTTTTTGGAGCCTTCTGACTGAGTAAGATAATGGCCCCATGGAAAGAAGAACAGAAAGAAAAATTACTGAGGTTGACATTTCAGTCTACTGTGATAAGACTCTGCAGAGCAGATATTTGCATGTGTCATTTCTTTTCTAAAAACTGGAAATGCTTTGAAGTCTAAAATTTAATCTTGTCTTTCTGTATATTTTCTCCAAGAACCTAGCTGTTATGATTGCAGAAAGTAAATATTTGTTGAACTCATCTGTACTTTTCTTTCTTTCTTTTTTTTAAAGAAGCCAAGGTCAAAGCCACATACAATGACCTGAAAAATAGTAACTGCAGGCAGGTTAGCATGTTAACTAGCAGATGCAAATTTGCAAAGCAATTGTGTTTCTTAAATTAAAATCATGCTGCACATTGTATTGGCCTTGTTGTTAATGCAAAGGCCATATTATCAGTGAGACAAGTACCATAAGTTCTAATATTCTTTATACATCCTGCAGAATTTCAATGATCAATTTAAAGAAATTGTGGCTCATCTGATTGATTAAGCCTGTGAACAACCCAAAGCAAATGAGTTTGTAAAAAGCCACGGGATATTAGTTTGAGATAATGAAAATAAAAATTTGGAAGCTGTTTTCTCTGGTTTTAGAGGTACAGGATGTTGTCAGATTCAAACAACTCACTAGTGTTTGTTTATTTATTTATTGTGCTTTTTTTTCTGTTTCTATTTAGGTGACAAAGGGGAAAAGGGTCTACTTGGGATTCCTGGAGAAAAAGGCAAGGCAGGTATGAATGATATGCTCACTGTGTTTCCGTTGGTGTCTGACACTCTGACACTACTCAAAACTACACTTTTCTTTTTGAAGAAAACAGAATCTCTTTCTATGCATTCAACTTTCTATCTCTGGGATAGAAGACAGAGAGGAAGAGAACTTTCCTGTCTGCACACTGGTGACTTTCCAAGCCCTGGGGGAGGAAGCGAGGGCACATTCCATCCCTGCTCATGGTGAGAAGCAAGCCCAGCATATCAGGGAGGAGAGCTGGAACTGAGAGGCAAGTCCACACCAGAAGATGTATCTGTAGCCGAGCCTTTAGTCCAGAATATCTGAGCCACACACTGGCCTCCATTGCTGATCCTTTAAGGTCACCTGGCTACAGAGCCTGTCCTGCATGAGCTGGCGGAGTCTTCATAGAACTCTGCTCCTAATGTTTGATATGAGGAAGCAAGTAGGCTGTTAGGGGGAAAATTCCAGCTGTTTCTATTCACAGTGATTTAGTGAAGACTCATTCAAAGAATTGCCTTATATTCCCTGTGCTTATCTGTGTACGTGGATCAGTTAAAGCACAGGGTATTTTTCCATTTGCCTAATAAAATCAGTTTAACTTTTCATACTGCCGAGCAATAGAGAAATGGAAAACTGTCGGAATCCACCACTAAACAGAAATAAAAGAGTCATTTGAATTTACCACGATTTTCTTTGATGCTACTTCTCACTACAACAGGAGGCAGTTAGAAGGCTCGGTGAGCAAAGGAAACTGCATAACGAATAAATATAATAGTTAACCCATAAACCGGACAGCTGCCTTATAAAATTTAAACTGCATATATTCACAAGGTTTAAACATAGTCTTTGAAACTTGACAGCTGTACTTTATATGGATAATCAGAGTTAACATGTGATTTAATCATGAGAAGCTTCTTCTATCTTGGGAGAGCTTCGTAAGCTTGTGAATAATGCAGTAAGAGAAGAGAGGCCTGGCTGCAAATACATTTTAAGGAAGCTGTAAAAAGTTTCTTTTGAAATTGAGCAGTCCATTTCTATACTCGACAAAAATGCCAAATGGCTCACGATGTCTGTGCAGCGGTTTGTCTCATTCATTCTTTGTAAAAGTCTCATTTAGAGTTGTTTATTTATTTATTTATTTATTCACATAAATAAATATGACATCCTGATCATAGCCCCCTCCCTCTTCTCCTCCCATCCCACCTCTTCCTGTCTCTTCTCCCATACCCTCTCCCCTGCTCCTCAGAAAAGGAGTAACAACTCCTACCAACCCCCTCCAGCACATCAAAATTTCCATGTTTTTAATAGCTATGAGTAGTATTCTATTGTGTAAATGTACCACCACAGTTTCTTTATCTGTTCTTTGAGGAATATCTAGGTTGTTTCAAGATTCTGGCTGTAATTAATTTCAAACATTTCTAAAAGATGCTTTATTTTTTAAGATAAAAGAAGTTTGAAACCCTTTTTTTTAAATGAAAAGTTAAATATATCTCAGTTCATAGAGAGATGTGACCAAGGTAGAAAAATGATAGAAAATACTGAAAAGAGAGAAATGGTCTGCTCCAACGGGTCTCTGTGTGCTTCATCAAGAACTCTCGGTTTTGTCATTTATAAGGTACCATCTGTGACTGTGGAAGATACCGGAAAGTTGTTGGACAGCTGGATCTTAGTGTTGCTCGTCTTAAGACATCAATGAAATTCATCAAGAATGGTAAACAGTCACCTCTTTGCCATGGCTCGTATCTATTGATCTGGTCTTTCAACACTACATTTCTTAGCAAGAAATGCCTTGGGTCAATCAAAGTATCAAAAACCTCTCAAAATACTGATTATCATCTCGGATTTCAATTTTTTTTTTAATTTCACCATACAGATTCAATCATAAGTGTGTGGTGTGTCAGTAGGAAAGGGGACTTTGTTAAAAGTAGGTGTTAATCTCACCAAATGGGAGTAAAGACCATTACCCAAATTCTTTAGGCAAATTAAGTAAGTTGGTTGGGTTTTTTTTTGTTTGTTTGTTTGTTTGTTGTTGTTGTTCTTGTTGTTGTTGTTTTTCTGTCAGACAAGGTTATCTCCCTAAAGGAGGGTTTGAGAAAATAGGATCGAACATAAGAAAAAGTAGGGCTTATGTAGTCCACAAAACTGCAAGGCTAGGGGGTTTCCAAGAGTTTCTGGTTGTTTGGGAAGTTAGGAGAACTTTTCAAAATTATTTTTCAGAGCATCTTATCAGGGTAGGAGTCAAGAGTTAATGTGGGGGACATGTAAAATTCCAGAAAATGGGTCAAGACCTGGTCAAATTCAACTTTTACAGAAACAGGAATGAACTTATTTTGACCTTGTAACAAGGTGGCTTTTTTAATCTTAATATGGAGTCAGGTTGGTCCATTAAGCAGAAGGAGAGAAAAGAAGAGTTGGGCAAGCTGAGCCAAGAGAACAGAGGGAGTCAAGTGTCAAACAGAAACAGCCACTCTGAAAATATGATAGTAGCAATGGTTACTTCCTTGACTACTTGGGATAGCATATAACTATGTACAATTCAGCATTTAGTGTTTTATGAACAATATAGCATTTAATGTTTCTCACTGTATTATGTTACAAGAGCTGTGACAATGCCCTGCCCACACCAATAGCAAAGTAGGGTTTTCCTGACTCCTCTTCCAATAACACATTCAATATAGGTCTTACGTGTTTCTTTAAGTTGTTCAGCTTTTTTTTTTAATTTTTTATTATTATTATTAATTACACTTTATTCATTTTGTATCCCCCCATAAGCCCCTCCCTCCTCCCCTCCCGATCCCACCCTACTTCCCCTTTCTTCATGCATGCTCCTCCCCAAGTCCACTGATAGAAGAGGTCCTCCTCTCCTTCCTTCTGATCTTAGTCTATCAGATCACATCAGGAATGGCTGCATTGTCTTCTTCTGTGGCCTGGTAAGGCTGCTCCCCCCTAGGGGGAGGTGATCAAAGAGCAGACCAGATTATGTCAGAGGCAGTCCCTCTTCCCATTACTATGTAAGCCACTTGGACACTAAACTGCCATAGGCTACATCTGTGCAGGGGTTCTAGGTTATCTCCATGAATAGTCCTTGGTTGGAGTATAAGTCTTTGGAAAGTTCCCTGTGTTCAAATTATCTTGTTCTGTTTCTCTCCTTGTGGAGTTCCTGTCCTCTCCAGATCTTACTATTTCCCACTTCTTACATAAAATTCCATTCACTCTGCCCGCCAGTTGGCCATCAGGCTCAGCATCTGCTTTGATAGTCTGCAGGGCAGAGGCTTTCAGATGCCCTCTGTGGCAGGTTCTTTAAAAATTTTTCTTGCCCTTTGTTCATTTCCCCACATTAATGAGTAGAAAAGTCTCAACTTGGAAAGGGCCTTGCTGAGACAGTTTTACTGAAGGAACTGATGCAGGGACTATTATGGCTGATTTCGTCTACCCGAACTTTCACTTAAGTGTATACTAGTGTAACACAGATGTATGTGTTACTCATTATTGGTGGCAAACAAATGCCATCTTGTGTTCAGAGTCACTGTGTAATGACAGAGGCATAGGAAATACCAAAGCTTAACTAAGCAACTTAATTGGTTTTAAGTTCTAGTTGTAAGCATGGGGGTGGAGAGATGGCTCAGCAGTTGAGAGTTTGACTGCCCCTTCAGAGGATTCCAGTTCAGTTCTGAGCATGCATGTACTGCCTGTACCTCCACTTCCAGAGGATCTGACACCATTTTCTGATTTCCGTGGGTACCCTAACATAACATGGCCTATACAGAGAGAGATATGCACAAATAATCATAAATAAAAGGATTTTTAATATCTAGTTGTATCATGAAACTCAGTCAGTAGCTAAGTTTCCCCTACAGCTGTGTGGATAATCTCAATCGTTGCACATGTCCATACTCCAGAAACTTGTCCTGAAGTAGCCAAACTTCTTTATTATCCCCATATTGTCCACTGAATTTGTTTTTAATAGGCAGTTGGCATTCCTTGGGATGTTCTAAGCACCAGGTTGAAGAGTTGTCAGACGTTGACACTGACATTCAGTTCAAGGGAAGATCTACCAAGCAATCAGAATGGGATTGCTGGGTGATATAAATGCAGACTAGAAGGGACAATGGGAACATAGAAGATTCCATGTCCAGTAAAAGGCATTGGAAAAGCTTCATATGGGAAAATTCATTTTCTCTGTCATCAAAAAAATAAGCAGAGTCTTCCCAAGAACGAATGGTGTGGATGTGAAAGAAAGGGGGCCTCATTACCTGATAAAAAAATGGTGAGCTGCTCTAGGGAGCAACTCATGTTAACTGGGCCTTGTTACCAGGTCTGCTATTGGACAGATGTGTGGGAAGCTGAGGGGGAAGAAGAGTGAGAGCAAATGGTAGACTTCCATTTCTTACCTGATAAACAGAAAGGCACTGAAGAAATTAAATGAGGAACTACCTCATTATGACCTTGCAAAACAGCTCTTGGCTGTTGAGTGACTACATAGAAATCTGACCATATTATATTGGTATTTATTGAGACACATCATGATATTCTTCCTTCCTACCCTACAGTCATAGCAGGGATCCGCGAAACTGAAGAGAAATTTTACTACATCGTGCAGGAGGAGAAGAACTACAGGGAATCGCTGACCCACTGCAGGATCCGGGGAGGGATGCTGGCCATGCCGAAGGATGAAGTCGTTAACACCCTTATTGCTGACTACGTCGCCAAGAGTGGTTTCTTCAGAGTGTTCATTGGGGTTAACGACCTGGAGAGGGAGGGGCAGTATGTGTTCACAGACAACACTCCATTGCAGAACTACAGCAACTGGAAGGAGGGGGAGCCTAGTGACCCCTATGGCCATGAGGACTGTGTGGAGATGCTGAGCTCGGGCAGGTGGAATGACACAGAGTGCCACCTTACCATGTATTTCGTCTGCGAGTTTGTCAAGAAAAGATGACTTCCCTCATGTTACGCAGTCCCTCTTTTCCTAGGCCTCCTAGAAGTTACTGTTATCCACCCTTGCTTTCCTAATTTACACCACACTTTCTAAGATGGTATAAGGGCCTTGCCTCCACTATCTTCTGTGTCAACTGTGAAATTTTTGTACACGATGTTTACTTGGGCCATTCTTGGGGATCTTCCTCTCACATCTCTATTTAAGCCTCTCACTTGATGGAAGAAAAAATCCAGAATTCAGAAGGGAAAAGGATGGAGTTGCTGCTAAACAGTGCATAGTATCGTACTTCTGTTAAATTGCCCCTAGCTATTAATGACTTCATTTTCATAAATGTATTCATACAGACATTCCTTACCTTCAGCATAAAGAATAAGGGGGGAAGGGTTAAAGCCTTCAGAAAACTCTAAAAGCATTAAAGTTCTACCCTCTCTAGGTCCCCTTCCTCTTATGTCACTCATTGAGGAATTTTATTGGATACCTTTTCTTCTCTGTAAATTAATGTTGTTGGAGATGACCTTCCTGTTATTTTGACATGATAGAGATATGTCAGACACAGCATTTGGAATGTCTATAAAATCCTCATTTTCTGAGTTGGCAACAGTGTTCCTTGAGCTGCAGATCAAACCTCAAAGCAGCTTTCATCTGGCATTTGAAAATAAACAGTTGAACAAAACTCTAGCTTCTCTTCCTATAAACTGATGCCTCCCCTTACCGGTTGTGACATATGATTAGATTGTTTAAAATGCTGGCAAAACAGTTAATGGAACAAGAGAAACAGATCAACAACACATGTTCTCCTCAAACCATCTGTTCATGACTGCGCCCAGGACTAACTGGTTGTGAGATGAGATTTACTGGCATGAGTTCTGTGAATGCACCAAGAGTCGCAAACCCACGTCTTACAGAGTCCAGAGAGATGACATAAATAGATGAACTGGAAGGGGTGAGGCCCCTGATCTGCTAAGCTCAGCCTGCTCTTTAAGGGAGCCAGCTACTCCTTGGCCACTGCTGTCATTGCCACACAAGACCCAGAATCACTGCAAGCCAGGGTCCTGACATTTGAGCCAAAGTCGGGTGGCCAGAACTTTATAACTCCATATTTTAAAATGTAGACAATTAATCAATATCTAAACTAGATTTTAAGACCTATAAGCATCTGTAAGCCAGATTGTGAACTTTCCATTCCCATGTCTGGGGAAAGTTCTGAAAGTTCTAATTGTGCCTGGTATCATTAGGAAATGATGACATCAAAGTTGGGTTTCCCACGAATGCCTTATTCAGTTCAGCTCAATAGGGGCAAATTGTCAAATCTTTGACATTTATCAGGTTTTGAAATGAGCTATGAAATGAGTTTTGAGAATGTGACATAGGGTATTTTGAAGACTGACCAGTTTAATACAATTACAAATCGGGGCACCACATCAAATGCCAGCCCAGATCTCAGAGAATTGGAATACCCAGAAAGGGCTGAGAGAAGAAAGAGGCAGCCAAGGCCAAACACAGCCTAGGGCGGCTCCTGTTGGATCCATGTTTGCAAATGCTCTGAGTCCCTGAAGTCTGAATATTTTAAACATAAGGCAAATGGTATCATTTCTATTATAAATGTTATAATGTTAACAATCATTCTTTCAGAAACTCATGTCACTTTGAAGGATGCTTTTAGAGTAGATGACAGTTTAAAGGAATAGGTTCCATCCTGTAACCTTGCCTGAAAGAACTTCTTAGGACATTACATATTTAATTAGCACTACACAAAAATGTGTACATTTTTTCTGTTTTTCTTTCAAGAGAGAATGTTGGTATATAACCACTGAGGCTGTCCTTGAATTCACCGTCTTTCTGCCTCAGCCTCTTAGATGCTGAGTGGCAGGTTTGCATCACCACGCACAACTGAAACTGTGCAAGCACAACTTGTTCTGTGCTTTATAAAAGCCTTTGCACCTCCTTCCTGATTTGATTCCTAAACTATGAGAAGTATAAAAACCAGGAATTTTTACTGTCGTTTTTCCAGTGAAAATACTGCAGCTCCAGGAACTGGCGCATTTGCTAGAAAAGCAAGCTTCTAGCCTGCTGGCCCAAGCCGACAGCTCCCAGGATTGCATGGTTAGAAGGTAGCAGGATGTGCGTGGGGTGGGAGAAGCATCACTGGTACCCTGTCGACAGACAGACTGAATTTCTGCAGGTGCTATCACTGAAGACAAGGTGGCAGTGCAGCTTCATTTAGGGTAGACAAGTATAACAGCATTGCTCCGAAGTTCAGACTCTGGATCTGGCATGACTGCTGCCTAGACGTCATTGCTGACTGTGACCGTTGCTAGGTGTATTATGGAAATAATTCAAATATCCTTTACTTTGTGCCCTTATCATTTCCTCCTCAGAGAGAACTGTGACAACTAAGAGGGAGTTATGGTGAGCTATTTGGAAAAGTGTTCACTAGACACGCTACATGGGTGCCACAAGACTTGGACATTACTGCTAACTACATGTGCTATGAGGTGCATGAGAGATAGAATGTTTTGAAATATATAAAATTCTTAAGTACATAAATGTCAATATTATAGATAGAAAACCTATAACTAGAAAACCTCTACTTAATCACATAAAATATGAATTTAAATATATAAAATTAAAATCATTGAGGGCTGGAGATAGCTCAGTGGCTAAGACCCCATGCTGCTCTTTCAGGGGATGCCAGTTAAGTTCCCAGCACACACAATGTGTGTGTAACAATTGTTTGTAAATCCAACTTTAAAGGACCAGACACCTTTCTCTAGATGCCATGGGCACCTACCCTCATATGTACACACTCCCAGACACAAATAAACATATATTAACATAACTGTAAAAGTTAAATAAATCTTTTTTAAAAATAAAACTATTAGCTGTGTTGTCTTTAGACCATCAAGCCTTTGTACTACCATTAAATTCTTCCATATATGAGAGAGAACATCTATTATACCATTTCAATGGGGACTGAAGAACAACCATTTTCTGTTGAATCTGTATACATAAACTTTTATATAATATAGAAATATGTTTCACCATAGCTCTAACAGATGTTCATTAAATCTGTATGAGTTTAGTAATTTAATAGGCCCTTAGAGCAAATTGAAATACATTTCATCTAATTTGCACCCATTGTCCTCATTTTCCCTTTTGATAGTTATACTTGAGAAACCTAGCCCTGTGATCAGCTGGGGAGTCAATGGCAGGCTCTTAGGGGAAGGGAATGTAGGAGAAGAACTGTCCTTGCCATGCTAAGCATCATCGAAGTGATGTCTAATACCAGAACATTCTCAAATTGTAAATACTGTACATCATAACCAGTTAATTCAAAATGTGTTGATGGATGACAAGAGGCAAAGGTAAAAGTATGAGCAGTACTCAATCAACTGGGGCATCTCAATCATAGATAACTTATTCAGTGGATGGAGTGAGAATATGTTGTACAGGGCCTAACATCTAGGGAAGACACTTTAATAAATCGGTGGTTTGCAAATCCCATAGAAAGGGTTAAAGACAGGTGTACAGTGGAGAATGAAGTCAAAATTAGAGTCCATATGCATGAAAGCATGAAGTCTCCATGGAGGAGTAGTTCAATACTCGGTGTTTAGGATAATAGCAAAATTTTTAACTTCGGCATACATAGTGTAGTATGTCTAATATGTTTCAGGTGGTATCATGTTGAAAACTGTAGAGAAGACAGCTCAGCTTTTCAGCCTCATGAGCAGAACTGCAGGTTCTTTTCACATCAAGCCTATAGTAATGAGGTTCAAGACTGAATGCATTGCCAAAATTATATAAAGACATGCTGCTTTGCATCTGTGTTGTTATAGCATAATCTCTCTTCTACAGTACACTAAAATAAATCGGTTAAAGAATTTTTGTAGGAGGATTTACATCACTGTTTCTCAAAGAGTAACATTAACACATTCATTTCAAATATACGAATTCATCTTGCTTACTCATTTCTATGTGAACACAAAGTTCCTCTGTCAATGTGTGCACCCACCCACATTATTTCCTTTCTAGATAGAATATATCCTTGTGTTTGTACATGAATGAACATTGACAAGTGGCAAATGTGTCTTGTCTTATCATCCTGCTGACCTATACCTGACAGTCAGAAATACTCCGATTTGCCCCAGATTGTCAGTTTTATAGAGAAATACGAAGGGTGTAGAGAGGTAATTTATTCATTTTATAATTGACGAAACTGTGATTATCAAGTGCTATAATCAAACTTTACCTGGACCTTAGCAGTTCAGTTCAGGAAATAAAGAAGGTTCCTGCACAGCAGTACAATTTAAAAGTATATAACCTTGTCATATTGTTGTTCTCATTGTGAATTTAGCTTCATTCACACATAGTTAATTGCTGCTTTCTGTGTATATCTGGTCCAGTGTGCTTTCAAGAGTTGGGTTGAAGATGGGCATTGTCTACACTCCACTCTTTGATCTATTGAGAGAATTCTATTCCTGGAAAGGGTACTCATAACTTCGATCATGGTGTGTAAAATACTCAAGAAGTAACAGACTCAAAGCTAAGTTTTGAGAAAATAATGGAGCATCCACTCTCAGTCCAATAAGGTGACTGTAAATATTAGACTCAGAAGCATAGTCTGTGTGGGATAAAACTAAGGGATGAGAGGTTTTTTTCCTGGCAATCCACAACTTTACATAGTTATTTATTGAGCTAACTCAGAGAATGGAACCCTAGAGAAAGCTTGCCAGAAAAAAAGATATGTTTTGGATGTGGACAGTATCAGGAAATGTTAATGTTTAAAAATATTTTCCTCAAGATTCTTTTGAGAGTTTATCTTTGACTTTTCTGACCATAGTACTTTTTGGGGTGTACATTCTTAGACTATTTGAGGTATTATTCTACTGGCACTTGCGTGCCCCAAAGTTCTCCATTTCACATAACACAGAAACTGTGCTTGTAATAAAGAAGCTTAGAACTGAAGGGGAAAAGTCAATAGACACAGGGAAAATGTAACTTTGTTTATGGCTATGATCAACTTCCTGACCATGCAATTTATGAGAGGAAGAATTTGTTTTGGCTCATTGTTTGCGCTCATACTGTCTCTTAGAGCAGGAAGGCGTGACGGTGGACAGCTTACTAGCAGGAGTGTTCAGCAATTAGTTACATCCTGCATCAGGTTGGCCGGGAGCTGAGAAACAACAGGATCTTTGCAGGAGCACACTTCACTTCCCAGTGGGTCTGCTTTAGAGTCAGCCAAGCTTCTGCACAGAACCCTCACTCATACAGTGGAAGTAGCATGAATAAATTTTTATTCACCAGGATAAACTTTAGTGGAATCAAACTTTGGTTTGTGTCTGGGATTTTAGAAGGAGTAGGTAAAAGTTTGCTCATGCTTCATCACCACCACCCAGAGCTAAAAATTCTTGCACCAATCAGTGAATCAAATGGGGCAGTACGCCAAATTGCTATTCACATAGGTGATAGAGTTGTCGGCTTACTAGCTATTTTTAATGAAGATATAGTTGATCAAATATAAAGTTTCTGAATAAATTTCCAAGAGCAAATGGAATATGATACAGAAAAGGATCAAATTTGACAAAATCTTGAATATTTAATTTTCCAAGACTTCTAATGTCCAATGCTTTCCTGAGAGCGTCTGTCTGCCACTGCATGGAATATTTTTGTTTTTTGGA